ATAAAAAAGATATCTTTTTATACATCTTGGATGAAGATGATTTTATATGAAAATTATAGCTCTTTCCAATCTCTACAACTTTATAGTTTTGAGTTTTTTAATTTGAGGTCATTAAGATGCTTAAAAAATTAAATAATGTTTTAATAGTATACTAATCAAGCATAAGTGCTTATCACATTGGAAAAATCATCTTCTCATATATGGGGTCAAATGGAGATATTTTATATATGAAAATTGTAGTTCTCGGCGAGATCTACAACGCTCTAGTTTTGAGTGTTTTTAATTTGCGCCTTTAAGATGCTTAGAAAAAAAAACAAACCAAGTTTTAGCAGTATATTAACTAGGTTAGATTTAAAAATAAAAAACAACTGTGTTAAATTTGAAATTGAGCCCAACACGATAGTTCAGGGACTGAATCGGACGTTTTTATAGTTGAGGGACGAAATTGAGCCCAGCACGATAGTTCAGGGACTGAATCGGACGTTTTTATAGTTGAGGGACGAAATTGAGCCCAGTACGATAGTTCAGGGACTGAATCGGACGTTTTTATAGTTGAGGGACGAAATTAAGCCCAGCACGAAGTTAAGCATTATACTTCAAATATCCACCACCAATTGGAAGTGGTAGATATCAAATTGATTTCCACATTTGGTATTTCTAAACCGATATCATCATGTTGATTTCATTTTGATATTTATATGCTTTCTCCATACATTATATATATTAAATTCCCTTGAGCAATATTTTGTCATTTATGCATATGCTTTGTCTTTTACCATATGTTTGCATATATTTAGGGGGAGCTTAATCTATATAATGTGAGAGTCAAATTTTATGACCTATTTCACTCTACATACAAAGGATCACAAAGTCGGCGGGGAGCATCCGAGAGAGGCTTGCCCGAAGTCACGTCGGAGACCCACTTGCGCGTGGGAAGGGCACGAGGCTATCCACGGAGTCACCCGACCAGGAGCTTGGCCCTTGCGAGGGGCTCCAACGAGGACTAGGGGAAGCTTGCGCGCTTCTCGATACCTCGGTAAAAATACCAGAGTCGTTGATGGGAGTTTGCATATCTCTACCTTGCTCTTTAGCTTCCGCATTTACATTGATTGTATTACTCCTTTTGCGGTAGAGATAGCAACACACTAGCAAAACCGTAGTTACACATTTAGATAGTTTATCTTTTGCATAGGTTTTGCTAAGGTTAGAAAAAGAGCCCATAGTTTAGAGTTAGAATTTTAAGTTGCCTAATTCACCCCCCCCCCCTCTTAGGTGTCACGGTCCCCTACGAACGTATTCTGGAAGTGCGCGATGGACTGCGGGTTAGATTATTCAAAAGCTGAGGGTCTTTTAGCAAAAGGATAGGGACGGCGGGTTCTATACTAGAAAACTTCAGGGGCTCTTTTGCAAAACGGTCGGCCGAATTGGTATCAACCGATCTAAGCCGTCGGATCGACGACGGACGGTTCAGAATAGATCGGAATGGGGAAAGTTGCCGGTGGCGAGCTTGGCGACGGTGGCGCCATGGCTGGAGATGGGAAAGCTCGCTGGAGCTCTTGTATTCTGGTCTACGGTCCACGGGGGAAGCAAGCCAAGGGCACCGGGAGAAAGTGGAAGGGAGGGAAAACTCACCAAGGCGGTTTACCATGGTGCGGAGCGAACGAAGGCGGCGCGGCGCTCGGTGAGGCGGGCGGTGATGGCAGCGGCGCTAGGGTTTGTCAGAAGGCAGTGATTCAAGCGATCGCCGCTAGAACGGGCAAGGAGAGCGACGCAAATCATGGCTCAGCTTTTATGGGCGGGAGCAACTTGGGACTCAAGGCAAGGAGGAGGCGCCGAGAAGAAGGCGCCACGACCAAAGGGGGCCACTGACAGCGAGGGGAGAGAGAAAGAGAGAGAGGAACTGGCGCGACGCCACGAGAGAGAGATTGGTCCACTGGTAGGCCACTGCAAGGGAGAAGAGCGGAGGCACGGCGGGAAAGAAGGCCGAAGGGAGGAGGGAAGATGGGCGGCAGCAGAAAAGCTGGGCCACTTTCAGGCCAAAAGAAGAAGGAGAGGAAGAAATTCCCTTTTTTCAATTTAATTTTCAAATCCAAATTCAAATTCTTTTGCAAATTTTGATCAAACCCATGCATCACAAAATAAATATGCATCAGCATGAATGCACAAACATGTATGTAGAGCTTATATTTGGTTTTAATTTTAACAAAGTTTTAATTTTTCTAAATTTAAATGCTCACAAAATACATAATTAAATCATTTCTCCTATTTTAAAATCATGCAAATTTTAGGGTGTTACATGGGAGCCCTACTCTTTCTTTTTAAGACTGAATTACTCTTGTGTCTTGTAACATTTTGTCAAGAACTGCGATTTTCATATTTTACATAAACTATCTCTCTGCTCCAGCGTCAAGGTCACAAACATACCTACATTCAAGAAAAGGGATCTTATGAAAAATAGTAAAAACTGTACCACAGTCAAGTAAAATTCATGATTTGAGTGACCATAATATATAGTTGAATCCCGCATAATATCCTGAACAAAAACGACTTAATATGATTAACTTACATCTCTCTCTCTATAACTTTTCTAAGGAACAGTTGCTCCATATCTATGGGGAGAAAACCGTTAATAAATAATGAACTTTCGTCACCATGGAGCCAATCCGTATATTGTTTAGGGTTCTAGGGTATCGCCCTAGCATGCAGAGCTCCAGCTACCATCCATGGCAGTAGGTGGTGGAATGAGCTGAAGGTGGCACAAAATATGTTCTCACCCATGACGATAATAAGATAGAGTTTACAAAAAAACTAAGTTTACATTGTAAGGCTATTTCCAATGTATGTTTCATACCATGCTCTCCAAAGATATGAAATGTCATATGAAGAGAGAACCATATACTCTTCCTCGTGTATGGATTGTGGCCACGACAATCGGCTTTAAATTGACTTTGGTTACTCGCGGACCTCATGTGGCATGCTTTTCACGTGCAGTGTGTGCATTCGTCTCGTGGCAGCCAGTTGTATTTTGCAATTCTTCATTCTTAACGAAACACGTGCTAATGAGCAGGTTCAAAAAAAAAAGATCTATCCAAAATTTAGACAAATTATATATATACTAGCAAATATGCTCATGCGTTGTAACGAGAGAAAAAAAGTTGTCAAATGTTCGACTTGTTCGCTTTAGCTTGCTGCATAGCTGCAGCGGCCGCGACAGCTTAATTTGTATAGGTGACTTAGATGTTGTGAATGGTTGTTGCAACAATTATAAACGAATGGGTCTGTTAATGAAAACAAGGATGACAACGTTAAATACTTATTTATTTATTTATTATCCTTTCTTATAAAATTTAAAAACTATATTTTATTAATATAAGTTAATAATGGCAATAATATGACAACGTTGTATTAATTCTGTATTAAATTAAATTATAATCTTGATAGGATTTTTTCTTTCGTGGTAGGGCACTAAAATATTACTTTAGTTTTCAAAGTATCCATGTGTTGGTAAAGTTACATATCAAAGTTCAGCGACTTTTTTTGTGGATTCATATATAAAAATATGTAACTTTAATAACCCTGTTCGCTGGTCTGAACTTTGGCTGAAACTGGCTGAAAAACACTGTTCCGGCTGAATTGTTGTGAGAGAAAAACACTGTTCCGACTGAAAAAATAAGCCGAACAAGCCAAATTTAAGACAAGCGAACGAGGCCAATATCTTATTAAAGTTGGCATGGGTTGGTCGTCATCATGTCGCGATTTCCACATGTCAGCACTTGTGGAGAGTTGCTGATAGCTTGGAGAAACATTTATTTTGATTAGATTGGATGACAATTTGCTTAAGATTTTAGTTTACGATTTAATTAGTTAGACCATCGACTGATTCATATTATAGTAATAATTTATTTCTAATTAAAACTAACAAATTAGTAATAGAAATATTTATTTATTAAGGGTCAGAGTTTCAAACGTAATACTGTATTTATTCTTTATCTTAATATAAGAAAAAGCATAGGTCCTTCGTCAGAAAAGAAAAACAAAATAAAATAAAACACGGAATAGGCAGTCACGGACACCACCGTGCACGAGCAGGGCAGCGCATCTGGAGCCACCCCGACGGACGATACGGAACGTGTACGAGCCAGAGAAGGAAAAAAAAGCAGAGACTGAAACGGAAAAAAAGAAAAGACACGGATAGAGCGCTGGTAATGCGACATAGCACCGGTGATTATATTGGACGAAAATTTAAGGTTGGTAGAAATTTTGCCCTCTTTAGTATTACGTATAGATGGATATATTATTTTTGTGTTGGAAAATTATTTTCTACTCCAGGGAGAAGTTACTCCTATATATATATCTTTATATTTATGGTGTCTATGACTCGACAAAGTGTACGTAAACGAAGTATATGATCATACTAGACCATCTAGGGTAGTATATAATTCAAGTATGCAAGTAGACATAGAGTATATTGTTATACTGATTTTTATATACTACTATAATGGTATTATAATAATATATTAAAAATAAGGGTTCTTTTGAAAAAAATTCGTGTGGTAAGATTTGGAGTATCTTAAAATGAGTATATAAACATACTCAAAGTGATAAATGAGTATGTAAACATATGCATTGTTGTTTATTGAAGATGGGAGTAGGAACCATGTATCCTTTTGTGTTTATGTAGCTCCGTTAAGCGATAATTATTTTTTTGATGCATCCCTATAAGACATTTGTTTTTTCTATATGCATTGTTTTTTTTTGCTGTAGACATAATATATATATATATATATATATATACACACACACACATAGCAAATGCCACGACTCTAGAAAAGCTGAAGCATCTTGTAATTCGGAACGGAGGAGCACTATTTATTATATTTGAATACTAATAGCTGAGCTTTATTTATTATACATAATCCAGAAAAAAATTCTTTGTCATATATACATCATTACATCATGAAATTAAATAATCAGATGACATGACGTGCACGTGCGATAGTCTATGTGCTCGCCGTGCCGAACAGGCCTTTGTCGAACACCCAGTCCTCGATTATCTCCTGCGCCGCCGGCACCAAGTGCCCGGCCTCGTACACAGCGACGTGCACGAGCGCCCCATGCTTCTGCACGTACCCGGCGAGTTTCTGTCCTTGCCCGCCGCCGCTGCCGCTTCTCCTACGCCACACGGCGCGGGGCGCGTCCTGGAACGCGGCGAGCCCGTCCCACTCCAGCTCCCGCAGCCACGCCTCCACGGACACCACCCCGTCCTGCGCGTCGCGGATGCCCTCATAGACCAGCACGCGCGTGGATGCCGGTCCCCGCAGCAGCGCCTGCACGGCCGGCTTGGCGCTCTTCATCATCGTGCAGCGCCGCCTCCACGGCCGGGCTGTTTCAGCACCCACGGCGCGTCGCCCCGGGCGCCGAGCTCCTTCCGCACCTCTGCGCTGTTCATGAACTCCTCGGCGCCGGCAGCCAGGGCCTCCAGGGGCGTGTCCACCGCCACGTCGAACAGAGACGACAGCCCTGTTGCGTTTCTCAGCCACGACAGTACGCGCCCGCGCGCGTCCGCCGCCTCGCGCCACCGCTCCGCGACGGTCAGCGCCACCGCCTCCGCCTGCATCGCCTCGGCTTCACGCCTCTGCTTCGCGTTGATCAGGCCCGCGAAGTAGACGGTGTCGGCGTGGGTGGCCACCTGCGCCACGGGGTGCACCAGTCCGTTGCCGATGGCCACGCCGCGCAGGTTGAGCCTCTGTTGTCGGGGGAGAGTCGGGTTGGTGGCCAGGATGAGCGCGCCGACCGTGGCGATGGTCTTGCCGGCGTAGCTCTCGCCGGTGAGGAAGAGCGGGCGGGCGCGGAAGGACGGCGGCTGGGCCGAGTGGAAGGACCGGAGCGCGGCGAGAACGTGCTCCGCGACGACGGGCTGGGACGTGGGGATGGCGGAGGGGGACGGCGCTGGGCTGTAGCCCGTGCCGAGCGGGCTCTCGAGGAAGAGGAGCCCGAAGCGGCGGTTCCACGCGTAGGGGTTGGGCAACAAGGGGAACTCCGAGGAGGAGGAGTTGGAGCAGCTGGCGATGGGGAAGACGTAGGGGCCGATCTGGAAGAAGTTGCTGACGAAGGAGGTGTAGCCCACTAGCCCGGGCCGCCCTCGAGCCAGACGACCAGCGGCGTGGAGGCCGGCGGTGTCAGCGGGTCGGTGGCCTCGTAGAAGGCGTAGTAGAGAGATGCGTTGGCCACGGGGATCGGGAGGTAGCCGGACTTGGTCGGCAGGGCTTCTCTGGGGAATATGGTGGCCGCCGAGCCTGCACAGGCGGCCGTGGCGAGGACGACGAGGACGAGGGAAAGCGGCAGAGGAGCTGCCGTTGCCATTACCATTGTGCGCACGTCTTGCCTAATGGGCCAGTGGCTAATGCTATGCCCTCTGTGTGTCTGTATGCTTGGACCTGTAGCTCTGCCACAACAGAGCTCCCTGAATATATAGGTTGTGAGTTGGTTGAAAAAATCATCTCCGAAGCTCGGCTACGTGACCAAACAAAAGTTGGAGCCGAATACGTAACTCCATATAGCGCCTAGGTTCCGCGCGCTGAGAACGCTCCGGTTACTGTTTACATACTGTTCGCGAATCCTGTGCAGCCACGTGTCGTAGTGCGTGTCTTCGTTCAACTACGGTTCGAGGCGCCGCCCCGTGGTTCGTCCGTGTCCCAGCCTGCGTCTATGAATCTCAAGAAAAAAAAAAACACAACGCCTCGCCGCCTCCGCCTAGCTCCCATTCCATCTTCTTCGTCTCCTCCGGCCGCCGCGAGCCCGGATGCTGGCTCCCGTCCGCCGCGCGCGCTGATGCCGCCTGCCACCCGCCGCCACCGCTTTGTCTCCACCTCCTCTCCCTCTCACCCCGGCCGCAGCGCTCGCGGATGCCGCGCCCGGCCGCTACACATCGATGCCCCAGAAAAAACTGCCTAGGAGCCTCGCTGCCTCCGCCTCCTCTTCGTCCTCCTCTGCAGTCGCGGCGCGAGTGGATGCGGCACCTGGCCGCCTCGCCGCGGTCGCAATGACTTCATCCTCTTCCTCTCCCCTGGTGCCAGCAAGCGCGCGGCAGCTACGCGGGCGGGGCGCTTCGTCGCATCTTCCTCTCGCCCAGCGGCGACGCGCACGGTGCCTCCTCCTTCCAATCAGTCGTCACTGCCAGCAAGACAAGGACAGTGGTGGCGATGACAGCGCGAGATGTGGCACCAGCGGCGCGAGATGCGGTCATGGCGGCGCACAAAAAGTAGATGCGATTAAGGTACCCTCGCCTCCTCCAGTTCAGCCCACGGTATCCCTCCCTAACTCTTTGCCTTACTCCTCCGACAGAGTCGATGGAGTTAGCGGCGAGCTCGCTGCCCTCCTTTTTCCTCGGTGGCTCCGTCGATCCTAGCCTCTCCATACAGATGGACTTGGTGCCTGCTTGCCCACCTCGCAGTAATGCATCGTTGCCTTCCTCCCTCTCCTCCAGGGACTATTTGGATCGTAGAGCGTGGCCAAGGCTGCATCAGGCTTGGTAAGATAATCCTCTTGACCTCTCTCTCAGGCTCATCCATCCCCTCCTAATTTATTTCGTGATTGTTTTTTTCATTCAGTTTCTTACATGCTTTTTTTATTCACCAAAACTTCCAAACACATGGCAATATTTGATTCATCGTATCTGTTGCTGCTCCACAGAAGGGAGTTCCAATTTCATGGTAGTTGTGTAGTGCTTCAACGATGCCATGTGCTCTCCTTCCATTCTTTCTTTTTTCCCCCTCAAATTAATTAGCTTCTTGGTGCTTTCCATCTGGTATGGTCCAAGGCTGGAGTGATGTTTCTTTTTCTTTGTTTCAGCACAAATTAGGATGGCAACAACTGTTCTTCCTGGATATGCCACATTGGCTATTAAAATCCCATGGTATGGTAGTCCTTATGATTGGCAATTTTCGCAATATTCTTCCATACCTCAATTACAACTGATGATAGGCAAAACTGATGCAGCTACATATACATTCATTGCCAAAATTAAGAAAAAAAAAGATTCAAGCACATTCTTTATTGTTTTATTTAGCCAAAACAGATACATCAGCTAGTGACATTAGTCATAGAACCTGGAGCACAACAGCAGGGCTGTGCTTTTTTTTTCTAATTAAACCAATACAATCTGCAGGTATCAAACTTTGTTCTTGCCGCTAATCTGATGCCAACACTGCCAGTGGAGCCTCAAGTTGTCAAACTGGCTCTCTTTGGTCTAAAAGGAACAGAAATTTACCTGCTCCAGTCAAACTCTCATCTGTGTCGATGGTGCTCTCTGGATCATCGGAAAGGGTCCACATTACACATCATGTCGAAGGTACTGCAGTTGTCCCATAAATCTGCTACACTGCAGTTGTCCCATGAATCTGCTAAACAAGATTAATCATCTTTTGCTACATATCACAATTCTTGTGCCTGTTGTTACATATGTAGTTTTATTCCTACCTGCCTAGCCCCACGGATATTGCTTATGTAATTTTATGTTTACCAGCCCAGCCCGCCAGATGCAACATCCACCTTTACTGATAGCTGAACAAGGAGATCTTCAACGCAACACACAGGAGATGGTCATGTTTAGCCTGCAGCTGCACCAATCATCCTTAAACCTGTAATGTTAATACTTCACATCTATTCTATTGATCTATTGGCATCTCAGAGGTCAATTGCATATATTTACTAAACGCCTATAGCTGAACAAGGAGATTTTCAACACAACACACAGGAGATGGTCATGTTTAGCCTGCAGCTGCACCAATCATCCTTGAACCTATAATGTTAATACTTGACATCAATTCTATTGATCTATTGGCATCTCAGAGGTCAATTGCATATGTTTACTAAACGCCTATTACTTGATAGCACAAATCGATCTTCTATCACACTACCATCTACCAACATAGATGCTTCATGTATGTCAGTTGATGTTATTTCTCTTATTGAGCTTGAGTAATTGAACCTGAGGCTGAGCTAGCTTACTAGGTTGAGACTGAAACTGCTTTGTCTCCATTGGTATCTGCAACAAGTTCTTTCAAAATATAATGCTGCATCATCTTGATTATAAGATATGGGGTTTACATACTATTTAGATACTGTTTCTTTTGGTTGTGTTTTTGGCTAACATGCTAGCACTTTATATGGCAGTATCTAAATTCTACCATTCGATGGTATATGATTATTATAGGTTCAGCCTATACTTTTTTCAAGCAAAAGCATACTATCGATTGGCAGTAGCCGAACCTTGATATCAGCTGCTTAAAGAAGTACCTAGACTACTGCCATTTACGACATAAAAAATATGTTCATATTATTAGTCAGACATGGTTTAGGCCTTTGGGCAACCAAATAACCTGACACTAGGACAATGGCTAGGGTCCAAACAATCCTCATCTTCACTGAGCTGCTGTGCAGCGTGTATTTTCTCAAAGAACTCCCCACCAGCACCCTATCCCTTGACAGCAGTGAAATGTGTGGTGTTAAAAACAAACGTGTTAATGATTGATTCACATAACAAAGTATGAGCTTTGCGCTGCAATCTGGTCTTGAGATAGTAAATCGTTCATTCTTTTTCAGCGATTCGGCAAGCTAGAGTCATACTTTGGGATAAACTACGGATGCCTCTAAAGCTACTCTGGTGACTACGAGTCTAGAACACCAGTTCAGAGATACCTTTGCACAGATACTCCCTGATACCTATCAGCTGGGACCACGAGGGACATGGGTTCATCAACTATGGTTAGGTATGTTATTTTTTTTTTTTGAGATCGAGCAATGGAACCATTACAATATCTATTGGCTATTATTTTCTTATTATAGTGTTCATATCTTTGTCATGTTAATTGGTACCATTTTGCCTTCTATGGTACATACTGGCATATTTAGTTCCTATTTTATGTATGTACCTTTATTGATTGGTTTTCTCATAGATCTTATACTGCTTTGATAATTGTTGGTGGGCCTGTGTTGATGCCATGTTTGTTTTTGCTTTCCTCTTGGTTGACTCATTTTTCTGTTCTGAATTACATTTTTTCCTTCCATGGCCGAAGACCTTCAATGAGATAATCTCAAAACTCTGGGATCCACCTGAGTCCTTGCTTAGTCTCATGAATTCCTTTTGTTTATACTCAAATGTAGTTTGATATCATTTCCTAAAGTTTGAAGTCTACATGTGGTGCATGCTTCAGATCAGAACAAAATGTTTTGTTACCATGGCGGCAATCATTCATCCTTTGCGATAAACAATTTTTGTGATATGAATTTTTCATTCATACTACTCTTGCTAATTTAGGGATACTGGAATCATCTTTTCATCTGTGTAGGAAAAAATAATCGTTGCTCCTATGGTGTTTGCAGGGTGCATGGAGGTGGCCGGCATGCACATGGACTCCAAAGCATAGTTGCATACTGTAAAGTAGAAGTAGAATATGGTTTCTATTTTTTTTTATGTATCTATCAGACATCTTTGTTTTTGAAAAAAATACATACATGACACTAAAGCATCCAATTTGTTATTAACAAAGCACACGCTGTATTTTCTTTCCTATGATCAATTGCTATACACAATACTGCCCGACCTAAGTTCAATACTTTCAGTTCAGTCCAAATATATTGTGATCACAACTGCAGTCCTACGGGCGCGGCGAAGCGCGCCTCCCGACCTAGTTGTATACACGACGAATAGTCTTCACTTATTGTTAGCATTTAGCAGTCACTGTATATAAGCTAGCTGTCCTGGTCTCAATTATTTTGCGTGTATCATGGGAAGTCAAGACGACGGTCCAGTCAAATCCCATGCGTTTCCTGCGCTCGTTTCTTATCACCAGAACCAGATAACGGTGGACCTTTCTGATGACGGTGTACAAATTTCATTTTTCTTGCGAACTGCGATCCCCTCACACACTAACAAAAGGCATGTTTGGTCGCACAGCTAAACTTTAGTTGGCTAAATTTAGTCGCCAGGTATTCAAACAGCCCAGCTCAAAGATCGGCTAAAGTTTAACTAGGTTTAGTTATTTCAACCTAGCTAAAGTCAGCTAAAAATTAGCTGAGTCTATTAGCCGAAGCATCCAAACACCATAACTAACGTTTAGCTGGCTAAAAAATTTTAGCTAGTTAAATTTTAGTTGAGTACATCCAAACAAATCCAAAGTATAGTAGTTTCCTGCAGTCTTCCACGGTTCCATCTTTAGATAACCCGACATGGTCAACATTGCTTCCGTGGATGGTGAGTGCAGTGCAAACAACAGCTGGCAGAGGTCAACATTTGTTTCCCTGGTAGGAAGTCTTTCCAGTATGATGAATACTAGTCCATCACGCGCGCCATCGCACGCGCC